ATGTGTAATTTTTTCAGCACTGCTCACTAAGTTTGGAAGCTCCTTTCAACTGAAATCATGTAAAATTTGCCAGCTGTAAGCATGCGGCTGATGAGAAGTCAACGAAATAAACAAAAGGATGGTACCATCTTGTATTCTGCACAAACCACCACTGTTGTTCTTGCTTTATTCAAATAGGTAGTTTAGCTGGATCTGTAATCAATGACAATCGTTCTCTCATGAATAATCCCCATCCAGACATTAATGAAAACAAAACACGTAGTTCAGAGAAGAGTCTCTTTTTGGTGAGTTGATTCACTCAGCTGTACATAATCGTATTTATATATAATTATTGTTATGTGTGTGTACACTGGCTTCGTCAACTAAGAATAAAAATTAGTTAGGGTTATTGTTTATGTCATCAAAATTTTTCGAAAAAATGTGACGAATAATGAAATTGTAACTAGGGTGTGAGGGTGAAGATTAGTATGAGAGTAGTGGTGATGAGTTGTCAAAAAATAGTTGTTAATGTTAGTCATTGCATAAAAGTAGTTGAATAATTGTATTGTGGTTGCGTAATTAAATGAATAATTTATTGAGTAAGTGGTTACATGACTTCATTATGAACTGACATCGGTTAGAGAAACATGAGAAAACCTAGGAGTACTGGACAGCGGTTTCGTCAGCTTAGTTTAGCACTTCTCATCAGTACGCACCCACCCACAGGGTTCGAATCCTTCACCTTCAGGTTACAAGGCTAGCAAGCTGGTAGACCATTAAGCCACTAAGTTCTCATCCTATGACCAGTCCATGAATTCCAACTTCTGCCAATTCACGATATATCGCTGCTGGCACTAGTCAGTGTCATCACTGGTGTATATTTGTCTTCACACCCAACCAGCTGTACCCTACTGATCATGAATTCTCACTAGAATCAGTGTAAATAACGGCCTACCTGAATAGGGCAGGTCGGTAGTGAGTATCTCATTGGTTTGTGGGGATTTTATTGATTGGTTACAGGAATTCATCATGAGTTGACATTGGTTAGAGAACCATTGGAAAACCTTGGAGTATTGGACACCATTCTGATGCTAACTAGTGACTAGCCCTATTCAGATAGGTGGGTAGTTACCTAATTATTTTGCTGGCAGTCGTGACCAGTAGGGTGCTACGTACGGAATAAAGTTTCTGAGCGAAAATTATTACTGCCTTGCTATCTCATACAAATGAATCAGACCTCTTATCCACAACACCAACGTATTTGTATTTGACACAGAATTTGATCAATAAAATAACCTGTTTGGTTATAGGATTTCATCATGAGCTGACATTGATTAGAGAACTACTGGAAAACCTGGTAGTACTGGAAGGATGTTTCGTCCTAGTTTGGGACTCTTCAACAGTACGCACCCACCGCGGTTCGAGCCCAGGACCTTCTGGTTACAAGGTGAGCTCGTATACCATTAAGCCACTGGGACCATTAGTTGATATCGGTTAAAGAAACTTGTTTCATAGATTCCCTATATTCCTTCACTTAGTAAACTTTGTTTTGAAGTAGGTTTTTCGAATTAAATGTTTCTGCATTCTCAGCGATATTGGAAGTCTTTTATGAAGTTTTAGGAGTCGCTTTCCCTAACAGAAGAAGAAGTAGATATATTCAAAACTGCATTACTTTGACGTTACGACCGACGCTTCCAGTAATAAGCCTGTCAAAGAGGGGAGGGGGTTGGGCGTGAGTCTAGCAATCCCACCCCGTAAAAATGAAACCACTGCTAACGAAACTGCAAAGCTCTAGTCTGAAGCCATATGTTCCACTGGGAAGTTAAAGGAATAAAATTAAAAAATAATGCTGTTGTAGCATTATGAATTTGTGTATTGTCCGGAAATCTATTAAAAAAACTGGGGAACAACGAGGACAAAAAACCGATGTTTACACAATTTAACTGCTCCTGTGGAGCCAGCTAGTTGCAAAGGCCGTACAATTAGGCGTGTTTCTTGTCGGATTTCCGAACATCACCCTACATGGTGGTTAAGTAAAGGACAAACAAAATCCATTCATAGCGCTATTCTATCTCATCTTGTGGATACAGAACACAAGATTGATGTTAACGAGGTGGCTTTCAAAGTCATTTACCGCATACCAACAAATCTTAACTTCTCCTTAAGAGTTCGTCTACTACAACACGTTAAGAAGTCTAATTTATGCGTCCAAAAGAAGCTAGTTCAGACATTGTCCTTACCCCGGCCATCTAGGTTCGAATGATCCTCAATTTTTGTAGAAATTTCCCTAATTTTAGTTGATATTTTATTTGCTTATTTATTATTATTATCATTATTATTATTATTTAAGCATCTTTAATGAACTGTAATTACATTAATCTTACTTAACAAATCGATATTATTTAAAAAAACACTAATATTGTTATTGACTACTATTCTAGAATATTCTATGTACATAAACATATATATAATTGTAGAGCTAGAAGAGGAATTTATCGAAAAGGATATTCTTTGCTCAATTATTTTGTGTTTTATAGATGTCTGAATGAATATTTTCGCTATATTGAATACGTATTGTTTATTTTGCTTAGTCGTATAAAGGTGAATATACAACTATGATTTGTAATTCAATTCACTTTGATTTTTCTTCTATAGGTGATAGATGCTTCTAAAGTGTTAAAAGCACTTGATGTATCACTCATGTTCCATTTGTCAGATATTAATTTGGTACCAAAAAAATCAATTTATCAAACTCTTCATTTATCCAGTCAAGTTATTTTTAGGACTGTCAGTTTGTTCGATTTTCTATTACATCGTCTATTTTACAATGCTCGTTGTCATATTCATCGTCTTACCAAAGACGATCACCGAAAGCACCCATTGAGTCATGAAGAAAGTAAAAGATAATTCAGTGGAGAAAATTTTCCTTTATCGACGAAATCATCTTCAGAGACTGTAGAGTCGTATTTATATTTACTAAAAATATATATTAGTAAATTATTGAGTAATAGGGCGGAGGGGGTTTGACATAATTGATATAATTACTCAGAAGTGGCTTCGAAAGTAAAAATAAAAGTTGTAAATTACGTTATACTCAACAACGGCGCAAAGGAAGAAAGTCTTAGAAATTTGATAAGGTTAAAGTTGAATTTAAAGGTGATATCACATCTGAAGAACCGCTGCTTATCCAGATCACTGAGAAAAGCCTTCTTTTCGGCTGAGCTACGGATCAATTTCTACAGCCGACAAATGATCAGTGGATGTGTGAAGGATAAACTGCCGCTTTGGACGGGCCACTTCAATGTGTGTTTATAAATTCACCTGCTCGTGTGGAGCTAGTTATATTGGCCACACACAAAGCGCACACTTTCCAACGCATCTCTGAACATTATACGAATGGTTAGCAAAAGGTCAATGCAAAACAGTTACTAGCTCAATTCTCGAGCACTTGGTGAATTCAAGCCACGCAGCTCCACCAGAGTCGTCTTTCAAGATTATCTACAAGGTGAAGCCGAATGATACAAAGGAGGTTGGGTTTCGACATTATTGTATGGCGGATGCATTGGCGATTCGTCAATACAACCCCGAACCCTGTATACAGAAAAACTTTGTCTAGTCTCCCTAAATCTACGTTGGTCCTAACCTCTTCACTAGTCGTTTCATGTAAAAATTTTAATTTTTTTAATTTTCAATTTTACGTTTAATTTGCTTTTACCTCAATAATTAATTCACTATTATCACTCACACATGTTCCTTTTGTAAATTTTCTCGCCATATTCATACTTGTTAATTTGACAATCAACTACTCTTCTTCTTGCTCAGTAACAATTTTAACCTTGCATGGAGGAATTCATCATGAGCTGACATCAGTATTGGACAGCTGTTTCGTCCTGGTTTGGGATTCTTCACAGTACGCACCCACAACTACGGCTCAAACCCAGGACCTTCTGGTTACATGGCGAGCTCGTAGACCATTGAACCCCTGTGACCCCATCCAAAGGTCCCTGAATTCTAACTTCTGACAATTCACGACATAGCGCGACCATTTCGCAATGTCTTTTTCGATGAGTTACTGCCTCATCTTCAACCTGCTGTACCTTACTGGTCACGGCTTCCCAACAGAATCCCAGGTTAACTGCCTGAATAGGACCAGTCGCTAGTGAGCATCAGATTAATTTTCAAGTATTGGTTTTGTAGGAATTTTTCTTTGATTCCATGCAATTTCAACCTTATGAAATTTCTAACACTTTCTTTCTTTGTGGCGTTTTGAGGTATTACGTAATTTGTAACCTTTATTCTTACTTTTGAAGCCATTTCTGAGTAATTATATCAATTATGTCACACACACCCTTATTGCTCACTAATGGACTACTATACACTTTTGGTAAATATAAATACGACTGTGTACAGCCTCTGAAGATGGTTTCGTCGCCTTGTAACCAGAAGGTCCTGGGTTGGAACCCTATTGGTACTGCCGAAGAGTTCAAAGCTAGGACGAAACAGCTACCTGGTTTTCCTATGATCGTATAAGTGATGTCAGCTCATGATGAAATCCTCCAGCTAATTAAACAAAATTCCTACAAAAACTAATACTTGAAAGACAATTATTTTGTTAAGTGTTTCTGCCTAAACATCGTGAATATTCGATCCAGTAGTTTGGCTGATCAATTTCCTCAGACTTTTTAAGTTCAGTTTCCTGGTCAGAAATGACTTCGTTTGAAAAGAGAAGCTTTATTCATCGAACCAACTGAAGAGAATTCGTGTAATAGGAGTAATTCAACACCTATCCACCTGGACATATGAAAAATTCTACTACCACTCTCACGACGACTAACAGGAGAGTATAAAGAAAACTGTAAAACGAAAGTTTCGGAACTGTGTGATCATAATTGATGAAACGATTATGAGTAGCAATAAGTTGTGCTCAAAATTTTGTCATATGGTAAATAATACTGTTTCACTGACTGTGTGATACATCTAATAAGCGAACTAATATAGAACTCCATCACTTTCTTCTTCTTCTATTGGTTTGAAAGATCAATAAAATCATGAATCGCACTCATACACACTTTATACAACCTTTTCTCCTCAATAGAATATTGACTTACTTTACACATGAATCGAGTCTTAGCCTCATCTTGCACAAATAACATATCAAGACGACAGTATCTTTTATCTGACGGGGAAACAGTTTTCAAAAGAAAATTTAATTGTTCCACAGAAGTTGAATTCGGATATAAAACATTAACAACCTGAGGTTGAAGATGAATAGGATGATGGTGAAAGAAAGGAACATGATTCGCCCCCATTAGGTTGTTGTTAGCACTTGAAAAATTATTAATCTGCGTTAATGGTTTATAGACTGGAAAATTATACTCGAAATTAGAATTATCTCTGCTATTTAAAAGGTTAAATGTCTTCAATGGTGTTGATAAGATTCTTTTTAAAATAGTGCTTGATTCGTCTTGAGGACAATTTAGTCTGCTAAACGATATGTCTGCTGCCTTTATCGATAGTTCATTAATCGTCTGTAATAATTGATTTATATGTTGAGGGTTTCTGTATGGTGTTGTATGGCTTGGTTCTGTGAGTAAATGTTGGTACTTTGAGAACAACAGGATGTTGACCAGATTAAGAAGATTTTGGTATTCTCTGTGTTTTAGATTATTGGAAAATAGAGTATTATTTGAAATACCAAATAGATTATTAAAGGCCTGGAGATTTGGAAACGTTAACAGCTGACGGTTTAGGTCATTGTGTATATTTATCAAACGATTCACATTCCACAAAGACGACTTTGTATAATCAGTCATTTGAAGAAGATCTAGTATCGGTGGGTTGTAAACTGCAGGTATCAAGGGAAGAATATTTGATAGTGAATTAGGAGATAAATCTGCTGCATAACACTGCGATAAATTGACAGGGAAATTCTGATTATGTCTTTCAGCAATGTGATATATGATGTTTTGTGATTTAATCGAACAGTTACACGGTTCTAATATCTTTTGTTCTCTCTGAATACAAGGCTGTATGAAACACGAAGGCATTCGTTGATTAGTCACCAGAGAAGCATTCTCCCAGTTTACTATACACGGTGATTCCGTTCCCCCACAACTATTATTATTTTCATGGAAATATTTAAGAAACAGGTGGATTTTTGAGCAAGGTCGACTACCACCATTAGCATCCAGCTTATAGTTGTTCCGTGGATTTGCATCACCTTCAAGTTGAACCTTTTGCAGTTTTGACGATCCCCATAGGTCGGCTAATAGATTTGTTCGGGAATAGCGCACGTCTAATAGACGATTTGATAGTAATTGAGCAAGCTGCTTGAAAATCGGATCCCAATGAGTATCTTTCATTCTGTTGGTATATGAAAATAAAATGAGATAGTCAGAATAATTCAAGTTCGCTGATACTTGAGTTGGCTTTTGTTTTGTTATAAAGGTAAAAGTGAATGTGATGCGAATTGAATGGGAATAAAAAAACAATCTACAGATGAGAAGAAGTTAGTTAGTGGCTGGTGACTAGCAGTGGAGTAATCCAGGATAACGCACATTTTGTCCTATTCGGGACTCGTCATCTGGATGTGCCTGCATTTCCCAGTGAGTGATGATGTTCCTACCGAGGCTGAAACCCAGTGCCCATAGTTTCAGACGCCAAAGCGTTATCCACTAGACCACTGGGGCTGCGAGAGCCACATCTTGGGCAACGGGTCATATTAGTTTTTCAATTGAATTTTAGATTTTCCGTCGATTGATTGACCCGAAGTGCTCGGTGTCTCACAGGTTGACATGTCTGTTGGCTTCTTGTGCAGATGCTTCAACGATGTCTGAGTAAGTAATTAGAAATTAATTGATTTCCAGCATATATTATTGCCGCTCACAATCATATCCAACTTAATGACACAGTTCCACAATTTGTCTTCTATACATATTTTCTCTCTATTCTATCTGTTATCTGTTCCGACATAAGCGTTGCGTCATTCTGATTGACTGCCCGTGAGTGATGTTGAATCGATAAACAAAGCTACAGTGATTAACCTCTCTGTCTCTCCACCTAACTATGTATTACTTTTTAAAACTGTCACTCTGTCACACACCACCTATTTTGTGATTAAATGCAAGTGAATGCGGTGCAATGGTTGAGCTTTTTTCTAGGTTTTTTTTAACTCATTCTAGGCCAAGCTGGAGTTTTGTCTTCCAATAATCTTCTTAACTTTGACCTACTAGTTTGATGACCTATGCAATTGACCTCACTAACAGTCATTACTTACTTACATGGTAATTCCATTATGGTTTGATAAATTCTCAGTGTTATACAGTAATGTTTACCGATGACGTTTCGAGCTCATAACCATATCAAGGTAATCACACGACTTCCTAAATTCATTTATATAGTTCTATTGTTTTTCACTTGACTTTCACTTTATTTGATTGGTAGTAGTATTTTCCATCTTTGTGGTATGAGTGATGAGTCATTCCTTTGCATGTGTTGGGTGTAGACTCGATGAACAAGGATTCAGTAATCAACCTCTCTCTCCACCTACCTAGATTACTTTTTAGAACTTTAACCCTCTCCCACCCTATTGTACGGTTGTGTGTTATTGGATGTATTGCAATTGCTGAGCTTTTTTCTAAATTACTGATCTTCTCGGGGTCAACCATTCTTACCTTAGCTAAATTCTTATGTTCTGACAATCTGACGACTCCTCACCTACTAGTTTGACCTATGTAGTTGACCTCACAGTCATTGCAGGGTATTTTGTAAATTATATTATTTTGTCTAATTGGGTCCACTGGGTCCTTAAACCTACAGAGCTTGTCCCTGAGTGAGTTTGTAGGTTTAAATGCCACCCTAATTCCTGCTTTATTTAGAATCCTACGTAGGGTCTCAGATGTCCCCTCTTTATATGGTATAACTGTAGATGACTTATATTCTCTATTATTTATGTTATTATTACTAGTTCCACAATTATTTTTCTTTTTCTTTTGGCCTTTTTCAATCTTCCTAATGAATTTTATAGGATAGTTATTCAACACCAACGCCTCTTCTATCTGTTTTATTTCATCCTTTAGCTATTTTTTGTGCTACTTAGTGCCATTGCTCGGTTTGTTAAACACTTAACTAAGCCTGCCTTAACAGTTAAAGGATGAGATGAATTAAAATCTAAATATCTATTAGAATGCGTTGGTTTTCTATAAACACTAGTGTGTAGTTTGCCTTCTATTCGTTTTATTTTACGATCTAACATCATAGCTAATTCTCCTTGCTCATTTTCCGCTTCAAATGTGAATTTTATTCCCTCCACTAGTGAGTTTATGTGTGTCAAGAAGCTATAGAGATATGTTCTCTTTTTAACACTGTGAGTGAAAGTGTCATCCACATATCTCCACCATATTTTTGGAGTAGGATGAAATGTTGTGTTATGAGCTATATTTTCCCAGCTGTCCATAAATATATCTGCCACGATAGGGGATATTGGTGGTCCATCCCATTGCTACACCTTCTGTTTGTCTATAAATTTTGCCTTGGAATTTAAAGATAGTAGATGTGGGGCATAACTGAATCCCTAAAATAATTTCATCAATGGGCGGCTTTGTCCTATGAGTGAGTTCAGGATCTGCAGTTGGTTCTTTTTTAACTGCTTCTAAGGCCATATTGGTTGGTATGTTAGTATAAAGACTGGTTATATCAAAACTAACCATTGTTTCATCATTCTCTAATTGAATGTCACTTAGTTTATTCTTCATCTCAAATGAATTAACCAGTCTATAGTTTGAGCGATTTCTCATGGGGCATAATATTAGAGCTAAATGTTTTGATAATTCATAAGTAGGAGTATTCCTAAAACCTACTATTGGTCGTATGGGGTACCCTGGTTTATGTATTTTACATTCTACTAGCATTATTAGTTTTAGGCAGTAAATTAAACCATTTAGACTCACCCATCATCTTCTTTTCGTTTTATTCTACATTATAAAATGACCAACTCATCCTGTTCATTTTCTAAATTACAAGTGAACTGGATTCTATTTACTATTGAGTTCAGGGCACCGTGATGGCGAGCCACCCAGCATGGTGGCCACATTGCGAGGTTGACTGTTAGAATTCACTATGCAACGAAGATAGGACCAGATACATTATACTAGTTACTTACTCGAATACCTGCTCAGTGTTAACGTCTCTGACTGCATGTTCGAATCTCAAAGAAGGGGCATGAATTCCTTCAAGGCGGTTGCAGATACGCCTTGGTGACTAATGAGTGCCAACTAGCACAAAACTTAGTTCCTAGCAAGGCATCCTGTGGCCGATTGATTCCAACCATCGAATACCAAAAACTGGGAGGATATGTTCAGATTTCAACACAGTGAATGTGTCATCCACATATCTCCACTATAACCCAGGAATAGTGGGATTAAACATTCCAAAAGCTTTATGTCCTCAACTATCCACCAATATGTCAGCTACTTTTGGGGATATTAGTGATCCCATTGCCACCCCATTCGTTTGCTTGTATAGTTTATTTTGAAGTTTAAATACACTGGAGGTTAGACATAACTCAACACCTAATATTATTTCATCAACTGAGAGCTAAGTCCTTCTACTTTTTATTTCAGGATCAATGTTTAGTTCATTCCTAACTGCCGTCAGAGTTGTATGAATGGGAATATTAGTAAGGATATTGTTATGACTAGAACTACGACCTAGGAGACTATAAGCGAATACTAACTTCAGTGCACTGGCTAATCTGTCCTAATCAAACTACATACAACAACAATAACACCTCCAGGCCGCAAAAAGATAGAAGAGAAAAATGAACGTTGATAAGAGGATGAAGTTCAACAACAGCGGCTCAGGAGTGCGAACGCTCCAGTCACCTTGAACACATGCTAGTCGTTGGTTAACGGCACTTGTCATTATTATGGCTCAGAAATAAAGGCAATTCACCAACTAAGGAGCGAATTTCACGTAGATCACGCTTTTAAGTACTGTTTGGACAATGTGTTAGTAGCTTGTTAGGGTCAGGATTAAGATTAAGATTACTACTAGGGATAAATTTAGAGCAGTTGTCATTTATTTTAATTTGTTTTATTATCCACATCTTCCTGATAAGTTGTCGTCGATCTTCTTACTGGAAACCATAGTAATTTAACCGTAGGCTTTTGGGGAAGACTGCACAACAGGATAAGTGAGATAAACGACTCACAGCTCGTCTTTAGTCACCTCCGTTAATACATGTACAGAAACTAATTTTAGTTTAATTTTAATTTTTATATAACTTGATTCCACACAGTATTTTTTGGCACAGGTATGGAATTTTCAGCATGTGATATCGGTAGCCAGAATTTTGCAGGCCGACCAGTGATATCGGGTATGTGTCGGCAGGGAATCGAACCCCGAACCATGTGCATGGTCGACAAGAGTCCTTACCACTGTGCCACCGACGCATAACTAGTCTAACTTAGCAACTGATACTCCTTATTATAACTGGGAAGTATTTTTAAGTCAGGTCAGAGAAAGATAACCAGTTTAATGTGTTTTCATGCATTTTCTTGCAAATATAAGTCAATTTTTGTGCAAAATTCCTCATTTTTGTGATATTATTAATATTACCATTTTTAGGTGTCCACATATGTCTAACCTCAGTGCCACCGCCACAATGCCCAAGTTCTACACTTACATGAGTGTTATTAATAATATTTGTGAATGAATCAAATATAAAAAGCCAAGCACATCATTTGACATGATTTCTTTACCAGCATTAAAATTTCCTTCTGTTTCTTTCTTTTTCATTCTTTTGACTTCAGAAAGTTTTCTAAATGACAGAATTCAACAGTGAATAATCAAGAAGAGGTCGACTGTACCGAGGAAAATTCATTTAAGTTAATTTGGAGCATAAGTGTATTGCCTGTCTTTCAAATCTAGACAATTCCTAATTTAAGAAATCACCAGAAAACTGCACCTGATTCATTGGTTAACTTGAATAAAGCAAGAACAACAGTTTTCGTAGAATAATATGGCTAGTCACAAGCCAGAGCCTATCCTGCAGCTAGCTGAGTTGGTTCCCGTCCATCGAACAATATGCTCTTTGGTGCAGTCAAACGTCGGCAGATACCCTTCTCATTTTAACAACTATAACTGTGTATAAAAATTTATGTGTACCTGTGGGAGCACTTAAATTGGCAGAACAGAAAGAAGCGCATACTTAGGATTATTTAAACAAGTGCCTAAAAGCCTGAGTCTCAATGGAACAAATGCTTCCAACAATCCCTTTACCAGGCATCTCTTTGATTCTGATCATTAGGTGGACACCATGAAATCCTCTAAAATTATCAATCGAAAAAAATAACTCAATTCT